GCAGCTCAAGAAAGGAGATGAACAGAGGCGGTTTGACACTGCCTGCCTCTGCGTAGCAACCCTGGGTTTCCTTGGTAGTCTCTCATCCAAGTACTAACCAGGAACGACCCTGCTTAGCTTCTGAGATCTGATGAGATCAGGGCAGCCTGGGCCATTGAGGTCAAGGCAAGAGAGGTTCAGAGGTGGCTTGCCATTGCCTTCCTCTGCATAGCAACCCTGGACCTCATTGGTGGTCTCCCATACAAGTACTAACCAGGACCGACCCTGCTTAGCTTCCAAGATCTGATGAGGTCAGGTAGCCCGGGCCCTCCAGCTCAAGGCAGGAGATGAACAGAGGTGGTTTGACACTGCCTGCCTCTGCGTAGCAACCCTAGCTTCCTTGGTGGTCTCCCACCCAAATACTAACCAGGACCGACCCTGCTTAGCTTCCAAGATCTGATGAAGTCAGATAGCCTGGGCCCTGCAGCTCAAGGCAGGAGATGAACAGAGGCGGTTTGACACTGCCTGCCTCTGCGTAGCAACCCTGGGTTTCCTTGGTGGTCCCCCATCCAAGTACTAACCAGGACCGACCCTGCTTAGCTTCCAAGATCTGATGAAGTCAGGGCAGCCTGGGCCATTGAGGTCAAGGCAAGAGAGGTTCAGAGGTGGTTTGACACTGCCTGCCTCTGCGTAGCAACCCTGGCCTTCCTTGGTGGTCTCCCACCCAAATACCAAGCAGGGCTGACCTTGAGTAGCTCCCAAGACATGACAAGACTGCAGCTTTTAAGATCCTCTGACTCTGCCCAATCCTGTAACTACCCAAAGCCACCTTGCCCCGGACGGCGGTCCCACCTCGGGAACCTCAACTCTACGGAAGAGGGCACACCTTCCTCTGCCACCAGCTCCCGATGTCTCGGCAGCTCCTGGCTGGATCGTCCTCCGACATTATCTCAGGAGTCACCTTGACAAGTTGGGACGTCAGCCCTTGCGATAAGTGATGGGCCTCTTGCGGCACCCGCCCGAGCGCGCTCGTGAATATTCATGCCCTCTTCCGAGGAGAGAGAGTCTCCCCTTCTGCTTCCCACGCCCAGATCTCGTCACGTAGAGACTTAATGACACTTTTGGCAGCTTTTCACATTTTGCTTTTAAAACAGAACCTTTCCTGCTATCCGACCGCGGGCGGGCGGGGGGGGGGGGGGGGGACGCCGGGTGGGGCAGGGGCGCCTCTCCTTCCGCCGAAGACCTCTTCATCGCCGCGAAGTCTCGAGTCGAGAAATCTCAAGTTTCCTCTCGGGAAGGGTTTTTTCCTCCCCTGTTGGTGAAAGGAGGCGCATCAATCATTTGAAGGGCTGGCTCCGACGGCAAGATACGCCAGGCCAGGCGGCAGTCGCGAGACGTGAATTATGCCAGCGTGCCATTAGATGGCATTGTTAATGCTGAAGGCCAACGCTGCATAATAAGGGACTTCGGAAGACGGGAGACGCCTCAGGCGGGGTGCCGGTCCCCGGGCTGTCCCTCAGGTGTCCTCCGACGCATGGCTGTGCAGTTTCCTTGAGGCCGAGCGTGAGCCGAGTGCTTTGCGTGGCTATGGCGCCGCTTTGGCAAGGACTGACGTTCACAGTTCGAGAGCCAGTTTGGGGTAGCAGTTAGGAGTACGGACTCTGACCTGGGAGAACCAGGTTTGATTCCCCACTCCTTCTCCACGTGCAGCTGCTGGGTGACCTTGGGTCAGTCACAAGTTCTCTCCGAGCTGTTCTCTCACGAGCAGTTCTCAGAAGAGCTCTCTCAGCCCTGCCTACCTCACAAGGTGTCTGCTGTGGGGAGGGGAAGGAGGTTGTAAGCTGCTCCGAGACCCTGAGTGAAGGGCGGGGTATAAATCCAATCTTCTCCTCCTCCTTAGAGCTGTTCTCTCATGAGCAGTCCTCGAAAGAGCTCTCTCAGCCCCACCTACTTCACAGGGTGTCTGCTGTCTAATCTGGGAGAACCGGGTTTGATTCCCCACTCCTCCACTTACACCTGGCTGGATGGCCTTGGGCAAGCCGTAGTTCTGATAAGAGCTGTCCTTGAAAAAGAGCAGTTTCTGTCAGAGCTCTCTCAGCCCCACCTACCTCCCAGGGTGTCTGTTGTGTGGAGGGGAAGGGAAAGGAGTTTGTAAGCCGCTCTGAGACGCCTTCAGGTAGCAAAGGGCTGGGTATAAATCCAACCTCCTCTTCTTCTTCACGTGCAGAAGGGTTAACCATAAGGTGTTCTGCAAGAACCATCTTTGAAGAAGAGGAAGAGATTGGATTTATACCCCGCCCTTTACTACCCAACGCTACCCACAACACACACCCCGTGAGGTAGGTAGGGCCGAGAGAGCTCTAACAGAAACTGCTCTTTTTCAAGGACAGCTCTTATCAGAACTACGGCTTGCCCAAGGTCATCCAGCAGGTGCAAGTGGAGGAGTGGGGAATCAGGGCCGGTTATCCCAGATTAGAGTCCGCACACTTAACCACTACGCCAAACCTCACAAGCCTTCAGCAACGGCACGGATTGGCGACCTGTGTCCAGGGTACACGCGCATCAGCCTGAAATCTTCCTACGGCGTGCGGCTAGCCGTGTCAAAATTCTGCAGCGTGAAAGCAGAATTTCGCAACTGCCACAGATCACAAGGAGTTACTGTGGTCATCTGTCACGACAGACACGGATGCGCTCTAGGCAGGCTTCCGATACACTTCTGATAGCTGACGTTTCCTTGGAGCGGGAGGTACATCCCTGTCTTATAACCCAAAAGGCTGACCTTTACGATGTGTAAGAATACCCTTCCTCATATTTCTGTGCGGGTCACCGTTTCTCCCCTGAGAGGAGGTCATTCTTCCGCATCCAGAGTGATCGAGGGGTAGAGACTTGCCTGATGCAGGAAGCAGCCGAATTGTGGTTGTCAGCAGAGCCAGGCTGGATGAAGTGGTGGCAAAGGAGACCAGTGGAGGGCGGCCTTCTCTTTGGGACCCCCGGCTCCACCAGTGATATCTGCTCTGTCTCCAGACAAAGGTAAAAAAAACCCTCCAGGGTCCCTGGCAGTGTTCCCTCTAAGCTGAGTGAGTGTGAGCTAGCACAGAGTTTTTTAGCCTCCGGCTCACAGGTTTTTGTCTCAGCTCAGGAAGGAGGAATCCAGAGCAAACTAATTTTATGTAGTAGCCAGGGCTATTTTTGGGCAGGAACGCACAGGAACGGAGTTCCGGCTGGCTCCTGAGTTGGCCACGCCCAACAGGAACTCATTAGCATAATAGGCCACACCCAACAGCAGAAACTCATTAGGATTGGCTACATTAGGGGTATGTGGCCTAACATGCAAAGAAGTTCCCGCTACAAAAAGAGCTCTGGTTTGACAACAAACAAGATAAACGTAATATGAAGCAAAAGGTGGGTGTGGCTGGATGAGCACACTTCTGGTAACATGTGGGGTGTGGCCTAATATGCTAATGAGCTGTGCTGTCAGGGGTGTGGCCTATTATGCTAATGATTTTCTGCTGTTGGGCGTGGCCTATTATGCTAATGAGTTCCTGCTGGGCTTTTTCTACAAAAAAAGCCCTGGTAGTAGCCAAATTGCTCACTCACAACTTTAATGCCAGGAGTTCACCAAGTAGAATTTTTGCTCACAGGATTCCACAGCTTAGAGGGAGCCTTGGTCCCTGGGCATCAGCATTTCCCCGGGCGTGTCAGAAAGGGCCACGAGAACTAAGCACTGAGGCAACCCTTCCTGCCATCCCTTTTCGGAATCCGCCCAAGTTCACAGAATCTGCATGGCTGTCAGATGGCCATCGAGCCTCTGCTTTTAAAAACCTCCCAAGGAGAGCCCACCACCTCCTCCCGAGGAAGCCTGTTCCACTGAGGAACCGCGCTAACTGTCAGGAAGTTCTTCCTCATGTTCAGCCGAAAACTCTTCTGATTTAATTTCAATCTGTTAAATCACGGTGAACAGTCTCAGGTGGAGCCAGTTTGTTGTGGCAGTTAGGAGCACGGGACTCTAATCTGGGAGAACCGGGTTCGAGTCCCCACGCCTCCACAGGCAGCTGCTGGTGTGACCTTGGGTCAGTCACAAGTTCTCTTGGAGCTGTTCATTCACCAGCAGTCCTCGAAAGAGCTCTCTCAGCCCCACCTACCTCACAGGGTGTTTGTTATGGGGAGGGGGAGGGAAAGGAGTTTGTAAGCTGCACTGAGACTCCTTCGGGTAGTGAAGGGCCGGGTATAAATCCAATCTCTTCTTCCTCTTTCCCATCACCTACTGCCCAGTCCTTCCAACTGGAGATGCTGGGGACTGAACCTGGGACCTTCTGCCTGCCAAGCAGAGGCTCTGCCACTGAGCCAAGGCCCCTGACCAAAACACAAAGCTGCCTTATACTGAATCAGACCCTCGGTCCATCAAGGTCAGTATTGTCTACTCAGACTGGCAGCCGCTCTGGGGGTTGCAGGGAGAGGTCTTTCACATCACCTGGTCCTTTCAAACTGGAGATGCCGGGGACTGAACCTGGGACCTTCTCCATGCCAAGCAGAGGCTCTGCCACTGAGCCACAGCCCCTCTTTACAGCTCTCCAGGGCCTCAGGCAGAGGTCTTTCCCATCCCCTCCTGCCTGGTCCTTTTTAACTAGAGATGCCGGGGATTGAACCTGGGACCTCCTGCATACCAAGCAGAGGCTCTGCCACTGAGCCACAGCCCCTCTTTACAGCTCTCTAGGGTCTCAGGCGGAGGTCTTTCCCATCCCCTCCTGCCTGGTCCTTTTTAACTGGAGATGCCGGGGATTGAACCTGGGACCTCCTGCATGCCAAGCAGAGGCTCTTCCACTGAGCCACAGCCCGTCTTCACAGCTCTCCAGGGCCTCAGGCAGAGGTCTTTCCCATCCCCTCCTGCCTGGTCCTTTTTAACTGGAGATGCCGGGGACTAAACCCGGGACCTTCTGCATACGAAGCAGAAGCTCTTCCACTGAGCCACGGCCCAGTGTGAAAATAACCCCAGTTTACCACAGGCAAGAGTTGAAGGGGTGGCAGAAATATTTTTATTATTCTTCACAACTGGCCCGGACTTCTGTTCTCTGGGAAAGGCATGAACTGGTTTAATGGTCTTACCCGGAGCGCTGCCTTGACAGTCCCACCCGAGAGAGAAGATCCTCTTGGCAGAGAGAGGAAAGCTGGATTGAAGAGAGTCTCACGCCCCCCCCCTCCCCGTCCACTCCCACCACACTCGAAGCCTCTACAAACGTTCCGGGTTTGTTTCCGGGACTCCTGGAGACGACGGGCTCCACTCTACGAGCTGTGAAAACAGACGGCCTGGAGCAGACCGCTTCTGCGCTCGAGAGTTTCCCCACCCATAATCCTCCTTGGGGCCACGGAGGACATCCGGTGTCACGGTGTGGTGGGGGACGCTTGCAAGGCCTCTTGCTTGGCCAGCCAGTGCTTATACCGCCTCGTCTTGGGCAGCATGAAGTTCACCACCGACATGGGGACCCGGACGGTGTCGAGACCGTTGACCTGTAAGGCACAAGGGGGGGGGGGAGCGGAGATGGGACCGGAACCCAAGATGGCGGTCTAGGCCTCCGCAGCAAAGGTGACCTCTGGTCCACGGGGGCCCCGACGCTGGCCTGCCGGGACCGACGCGACGTAAGCCACCTTGAGTCCCGCAAGGTGGAAAAGCGATTCATATATGTTTTCAGTAAATCAAACAGCCCAGACTCCCGTGGACAATAGAAAAGAGTAAGAGTCCGGCAGCGCCTTAAAGACTTAACAACAATTTGTGGCAGGGGAGGAGCTTTCGTGAGTCATGGCCAGTGTTCCCTCTAAGCTGAGTGAGTGTGAGCTAGCCCACAGCTTTTTAGCCTCCGGCTCACACATTTTTGTCTCGGCTCAGGGAGGAGGGCTCCAGAGCAAACTAATCTATGCAGCAGCCAAATCGCTGGTTCACAACTTTCACGCCAGCAACTCACAAGAGAGAATTTTTGCTCACAGGACTCCATAGCTTAGAGGGAGCGTTGGTCACGGCTCACTTCTTCAGGTATCTTCAGGTATCTGAAGAAGTGAGCACTGACTCACAAACGGTCCTACCCTCCCACGAACTTGGTCAATTTTTTTTAAAATAATGTTTTAATTAAAATTTTCACACACTAATAAGTACAGCCTATAACGGCGGAAGACCAAGCAAGAAAAAAAAAATCAAATAGCATATGTATAGCGACCTCAACTAAAACTTCCAAATGATAGATAGGGTGTGTTCAGACGGGCCGTTTAGTCCGCTTTCGGCCCGCCTCAGAAACAGATTTTATCTGCGCGATCACACGGTCAACATCTGCCGCCCGTCCCCAGCCGTCGCTTTCTGTCTCGAATCCCCTTTAAACCGGAGTATTTTGATACCAGGTCCACAAGTGATGTTTTCCTGATTCTCCGGTTCCAGCCGCATTTCCCCCGTGTGATCGCTCCTGTGGTGTCGAGCCACTTCCGGCTTAAGCCCCCTCCCCGCTTGAAAGCTGCCCGAGGCTTCCGCTTTTCACCCACCATTTTTTTAAAAGCATTGGCAGTGTGCGCATAGGCGGAGGTCCGCCAGGGCTATTTTTGGGCAGGAACGCACAGGAACGGAGTTCCGGCTGGCTCCCAAGTTGGCCACGTCCATCAGGAACTCATTAGCATGATAGGTCACACCCAACAGCAGAAACTCATTAGGATTGGCTACATTAGGGGTGTGTGGCCTAACATGCAAAGGAGTTCCTGCTACAAAAGAAGCCCTGGGTTTTGACAACAAACAAGGTAAACAGAATAAGAAGCAAAAGGTGGGTGTGGCTGGATGACCACAGTTCTGGTGACATGGGGGTGTGGCCTAATATGCTAATGAGCTGCCCTATTGGGGTGGGGCCTAATAGGCTAATGAGTTTATGCTATTGGGTGTGGCCTATTATGCTAATGAGTTCCTGCTGGGCTTTTTCTACAAAAAAAGCCCTGGGCGGAGGTCCGCCATACGGTTATTAAAAACAATGGCTTCAAAAGGGAATTAGATAAGCATATGGAGCAGAGGTCCATCAGTGGCTATTAGCCACAAGGTATAGATAGGGACTCTGGAGAAAGTGATGCTCTGTCATCTTGGTGCTTGGGGGGGGGGGTCAACAGTGGGAGGGCTTCTAATGTCCTGGCCCCACTGCTGGCCCTCCTGATGGCACTGGTATTTCTGGCCACTGTGTGATACAGAGTGTTGGACTGGATGGGCCTTTGGCCTGATCCAACATTGGCGTCTCTTATGTTCTTAATGTTTAAATGGTGCCTAGTTTTAGCCTTTAGACGAGTTCGGGATCTCACGGAGGCCATTTTCGGACGTAAACGTTTAAAGGGAAGTGTTCCTTTAAAGTTTAAAGGGAAGCGTTCCTTTAAAGTTTAAAGGGAAGCATTACAGCAGTGCGCATGCCCAAACTGCGAGAGAGAAAAAAACGACAGCAAGGAGGCGAGTCCAGGTTTAAAAAGACCGCATCAGGGCGGAGCAATTTAAACCGCTCCCAGCACGCCCAGCAGCACGACCCCATAGTGAGCCTTAAAAACACAACAGATTCTGATAATAACGGTTATTTGGGATACGACCCCCCCTTCAGCTAAATAAATCTGGTCAGTCTTGAAGGTGTTCCTGGACTGGGGGACTTGGGAATGGTCAGTTTGGAGAAGAGGAGGTTTGAGGGGGGACAGGATGGCTCTCTTGAAGTATCGGAAGGGCTGTCCCTTGGAGGAGGGCAGGGAGCTGTTCCTGTCGGCAGCAGAGGATATAGGACTCGCAATCATCGGTTTAAATGAAGAGAAGGAAGGTACCGGCTGGATCTTAGGAAAAACTTTTTGACAGGAGTTGTTCAACAGTGGAATCAGCCGCCTAGGGAGGTGGTGAGCTCCCTTGAAGCAGTGGCTGGACAAACCCTTGTCAGGGATGCTCTAGGCCAGTGGTGGCGAACCTATGGCACGGGTGCCAGAGGTGGCCCTCAGAGCCCTCTCTGTGGGCACACATGCCATCGCCCCAGCCAGGCCCAGACCATCATTAAAGTGTCGAATTCTCTGCCAAATAATTTTAAGTCAATGAAAGCATTTGGGATTGCTCTCCTTACTTTGTTTGAATCATCTTAACTTAATGTGTGAGTTGTTTTTTCTAAAGTAAAACCTCGGTATTCAAGTTAAATGGCCGTGTTGGCACTTTGCGATAAATAAGTGGGTTTTGGGTCACAGTTTGGGCACTCGGTCTCTAAAAGGTTCGCCATCACTGCTCTAGGCTGGTCCTGCACTGAGCAGGGGGTTGGACTAGATGGCCTGTAGGACCCCCTTTCAATATTCTCTCTAAGCTATGGAATCTTGGGTGCAAGAATTCTACTTTGTGTGCTCCTTGCATTAAAGTTGTGAGCGGGCAATTTGGCTGCTGCATCAATTAGTTTGCTCTGGAGCCACCCTTCCTGAGCTGAGACAAAAATGTGTGAGCTGGAGGCTAAAAAATTGTGAGCCGGCTCACAGTAACTCAGCTTAGAGGGAACACTGGTTGGGATTCTACGATCCTGCGACTCTCGCTCTTTCCATCTGCTGCAGACAAACTAACGCGGCTACCTCTCTTGATTTATCCCATGACCAAAGTCTGATTAAATCACGAGATTGGACATGCGTCCGCGGCACCGTGCACGGAATCAATCCCCGCAGGCTAGAAGAAGAAGATATTGGATTTATACCCTGCCCTTCACTACCCGAAGGAGTCTCAGAGCGGCTTACAAACTCCTTTCCCTTCCCCTCCCCATAACAGACACCCTGTGAGGTAGGTGGGGCTGAGAACAGCTCTGACAGAAACGGCTCTCTTTTTAAGAACAGCGCTGAGAGAACTTGTGACCAGTGTTCCCTCTAAGCTGAGTTAGTGTGAGCCAGCTCACAGTTTTTTAGCCTCTGGCTCCCACATTTTTGTCTTAGCTCAGGAAGGAGGGCTCCAGAACAAACTAATTTATGCAGCAGCCAAATCTCCTGCTCACAACTTTAATGCCAATAGCTCACAAAGTAGAATTTTTGCTCACAGGGCTCCATAGCTTAGAGGGAACATTGCTTGTGACTGACCCAAGGTCACACCTGCAGGTACAAGTGGAGGAGTGGGGGAATCAAACCCGGTTCTCCCAGATTAGAGTCCGCGCACTTAACCACGACACCACTGCTGGCTCTGAGGCTACTGAGCGCTGCGCTCGGGTATGAAGATACTGCAGCAGTTTTGTATGGGACCTAGGAGAAATCTTAACCCTGCAGCTCATGCGGAGGGCAGAGTCCTTACCGTGACTTCACACCAGTATTCGCCAAACTGGGTAATGGGCTCGTCCGGCAGCTTCACGGCGTACGGTGGCATCGCGACCCTGAGCTGCAAACAGCAGGACACAAGAAGCTGTTAGGTCAGCGATTGTCACGAAAGGGACTGAAAGCAAAATGGCTGATATTGTAATGCCCCTGTATAGATCTCTGGAGCTGCGGTGGCTCAAGGGGTTAAGAGTTAGCAGACACAGAGGGGTAGCAGTATGGCAATCGTATCACATACAGAAATACGGCAACAGTGCAACCAATATAAATACAAATGATTGTATGAACACTACAGAATAATCACTCCATGATGTTTAATCTTATTCTTTTTTTTTTCTCAATCCAGGCTTCATGAGAAGAACATACAAGTTGTCATGAAGAAGGACGAACGTCCCCAGAGTAACCGTTTCGTTTCGATATTTCTTTTTCATACAAATATCAGTTCTGCTTCCACTTATTCATTCACCTTCCAAAAGGATATCTCTAATTCCCAGCAACTTCGGAATAACTTATAACCGGACTCAAATCTCGTTGTTCTACAGCCGACCAAAATGGCCACCGTCTGGAACCAGAAAGCTCAGGGTTCCTCAGAAGAGGCTGAAGAGAAAACCCAAAATGAGGCCATCCAGGGTCTCAGGCGGAGGCCTTTCCCACCACCTCCTGCCAGGTCCTTTTTAAGTGGAGATGCCGGGGATTGAACCTGGGACCTCCTGCATGCCAAGCAGATGCTCTACCACTGAGCCACAGTGCCTCTTTACAGCTCTCCAAGGTCTCAGGCAGAGGTCTTGCCCACCACCTACTGCCTGGTCCTTTTTAACTGGAGACGCCGGGGATTGAACCTGGGACCTCCTGCATGCCAAGCAGATGCTCTGCCACTGAGCCACAGCCCCACTTTACAGCTCTCCAGGGTCTCAGGCGGAGGTCTTTCCCATCACCTCCTGCCTGGTTCTTTTTAACTGGAGATTCTGGGCATTGAACCTGGGACCTCCTGCATGCCAAGCAGAGGCTCTGCCGCTGAGCCACAGCCCCTCTTTACAGCTCTCCAGGGTCTCAGGCGGAGGTCTTTCCCATCACCTCCATCACCTCCTGCCTGGTCCTTTTTAAGTGGAGATGCCGGGGATTGAACCTGGGACCTCCTGCATGCCATAGTCCCTCTTTGCAGCTCTCCAGGGTCTCAGGCAGAGGTCTTTCCCATCACCTCCTGCCTGGTCCTTTAAACTGGAGATGCTGCCGGGGATTGAACCTGAGACCTTCTGCATGCCAAGCAGAGCCTCTTCCACTGAGCCACGGCCCCTCTTTACAGCTCTCCAGGGTCTCAGGCGGAGGTCTTTCCCTTCACCTCCTGCCTGGTCCTTTTTAACTGGAGATGCCGGGGATTGAACCCGGGACCTCCTGCATGCCAAGCAGAGGCTCTGCCGCTGAGCCACAGCCCCTCTTTACAGCTCTCCAGGGTCTCAGGCGGAAGTCTTCCACATCACCTCCTGCCTGGTCCTTTTTAACTGGAGATGCCGGGGACTGAACCTGGGACCTCCTGCATGCCAAGCAGAGGCTCTGCCGCTGAGCCACAGCCCCTCTTTACAGCTCTCCAGGGTCTCAGGCGGAGGTCTTTCCCATCACCTCTTGCCTGGTCCTTTTTAAATGGAGATGCCAGGGATTGAACCTGGGACCTTCTGCATGCTGAGCAGATGCTCTTCCACTGAGCCACAGCCCCTCTTTGAAGCCCTCCAGGGTCTCGGGCGGAGGTCTTTCCCTTCATCTCCTGCCTGGTCCCTTTTAACTGGAGATGCTGGGGATTGAACCTGAGATCTTCTGCGTGCCAAGCAGAGGCCCTTCCACTGAGCCACGGCCCCTCCCCAAATCTAAAAGTAGGTATGAAGTAAAACAGAGTATGGCAAGGCTCACGTTTTTGAGGAAATGGCGGGCGACAATCGCAGGGGTCAGTTCCCACTCCTTGTTGTTCTTCATCCCCACCTCTAGGTGGCAGCTCTGCAGGAAACGTACCGTCTAGAGGGAAAGCACAGTGGGGAATTGTTAGGAGGTGCTCCCAAGAGACTCAACTCTATGGTGTCGGCGGCCATCAGCCTTCAGCAGCAGTTTCGTCCAGGCACCGGGAGAAAGATTCAGAGAGCTGAACCTCTGCCCACATTCATTCTGGGCCCTTGGGTAGCTCCTTAAGGCCCTGAACCCTGGAGAAGATAGACGGGACAGTGGAACTGGTTGGCCACGGTGTGAGACAGGATGCGAGGCTAGATAGACATAAGAACATAAGAGAAGCCCATGTTGGATCAGGCCAATGGCCCTTCCAGTCCAACACTCTGTGTCACACAGTGGCCAAAAATACCGGGTGCCATCAGGAGGTCCACCAGTGGGGCCAGGACACTAGAAGTCCTCCCACTGTCCCCCTGCCCGGCACCAAGGACCACTGGTCTGATCCAGCACGGCTCTTCTGAGGTTCTTATGAAGGCCTCGACCTCTCTGCCCTGTTGTTGGCCCTCCAGAGGAACTGGTTGGCCCATGTGTGAGACAGGATGCTGGACTGGACAGACCACTGGCCTGATCCAGCACGGCTCTTCTTACGTTTTTACCAAGGCCTGTGCCTCTCTGCCCTGTTGTTGACCATCCAAAGGAACTGGTTGGCCACTGTGGGAGACAGGACACTGGACTAGATGGACCCTCACTGGTCTGATCCATCAGGCCTCTTACGTTCTTCTGGCCACGTGGTGATTAGCTGGCCAAGGAGAAAACGGCTACAAAAAAGGACCTATCCAGATTAGCAAGTTCGATTTTCAAGCACAACAGGACAGAGTCAGGCATGTGATCATCCCTCCGAAACGGTGATCCTCCCTGACCACAATAAAGCTCTTCCGGGTCAGCCTTGCTCGCCGTTCCGAGCCCTGAGCCTCTGCCCCCACCAACACCCCCAACTCAACAAATATATCTGCCGCTATAATAATTATCGCATGGCATTGTGTGGTGTCTAGCCCGGAGATCCTAAGATTGTCTGGCAGCCAAAAGTTCTCGGCTCTTTAGGGTTATGCACCACTAGGTGGCGAACGCGACTTGTTTTTAAGGCAAGAGACGTTTCAGAGGTGCTTTGCCGCTGCCTGTCTCTGCATCGCGACACTGGTCTTCCTTGGAGGCCGCCCTTCCAAACACTAGCCAAGGCCAACCCTGTTTAGCTTCCGAGATCAGGCCAGCCTGGGCTATCCAGGGGAGGGCACATCTGCCACTGCCCCCCTGGGTCCATGGCCCGCTGCACCCCACGCTGCACCCACTGACGTGGGCTCCCCCCGACTCTCCTTGCCTTTTGAAGAGCGGCAGCAGAAGAGGAGATTGGATTTATACCCCGCCCTTCACTGCCCGAAGGAGTCTCAGAGCGGCTTACAAGCTCCTTCCCCTTCCCCTCCCCACAACAGACACCCTGTGAGGTAGAAGAAGAAGAAGAGACTGGATTTATACCCCGCCCTTCACTGCCCGAAGGAGTCTCAGAGCGGCTTACAAACTCCTTCCCCTTCCCCTCCCCACAACAGACACCCTGAGAGGTCGGTGGGGCTGAGAGAGCTCTTGACAGAAACTGCTCTTTTTCAAGAACAGCTCTTATCAGAGCTACGGCTTGCCCAAGGTCATCCAGCCAGGTGCAAGTGGAGAGGTGGGGAATCAAACCTGGTTCTCCCAGATTAGAAGAGGAGACTGGATTCATACCCTGCCCTCCACTACCCGAAGGAGTCTCAGAGTGGCTTACAAGCTCCTTCCCCTTCCCCTCCCCACCACAGACACCCTGTGAGGTAGGCGGGGCTGAGAGAGCTCCTTTGAGGACTGCCCTTGAGAACAGCTCTGAGAGAACTTGTGGCTGACCCAAGGTCACACCAACAGCTGCATGTGGAGGAGGAGCGGGGACTCAGCCCCAGTTTTCCCAGATCAGAGTCTGGGCTCCTAAACGCTATGCCAAACTGGGTCCGAACCACAGCCCCTCCCTTCGGTAGGAGTAACTAGGCCCGCTCACCTTTATGCCACTAAGCGTCTGGGATTTTCCCACCGTCCCGTCCTGAAGTAGCTGTGGGAGAGAAAGAAATAAACAGTGGGGGGAGACACATCAAACCAGAGAAGGACAGAGAGAAAAGAGGTCATGTTTAATATACTAATTCTATTACGACCAAGAACAAACCGCAAGAAATGGACTGACGTGACTCCGCCGCTCTCCCAAATCCACCACAGCCTGCTTACGGTGGCTCTAAAAGGATGCAGGTTAGCAGCAGTGTTCCCTGTGAGCTGAGTTAGTGTGAGGTAAAGGTAAACGTTCCATCGCTCGAAAGCCAGTCGAATCCGACTCTAGGGTTGCATTTCAAAGCCGAAGAGCCAGCGCTGTCCGAAGACGCTTCCGTGGTCATGTGGCCGGCATGACTAAACACCAAGGCGCACGGAACGCTGTTCCCTTCCCACCAAAGTGGTACCTATTTATCTAATGACGGAGCCAGCCAGAAGACGTCTACACCGGGCAGTGACGGCGCGTGCAATTAAAGTGAATATATGTTGTCTTCCCTATCACCTACGAACATTGTTAGTCCCTTGTCTATATATGGAGTAACTGTACATCGCTTTTAGCCCACTGGGGAAAGCGATTAATAAATGGAAAGTATTATTATTTATTATTATTATTACTTGCTATTTCTTGCTTTCAAACTGCTAGGTTGGCAGGAGCTGGTACTAGAGACGGGAGCTCACTCCGTCATGTAGCAACTCGGGTCTCGAACTGCTGAACTACCGACCTTCCACAGCCTGCAGTTCAGCGTCTTAACCACTTGAGCCACCGCAGCTCCTAGTGTGAGGTAGCTCACAGCTTTTTTTAGCCTCCAGCTGACACATTTTTGCCTTAGCTCAGGAAGGAGGGCTCCAGTGCAAACTGATTCATGCAGCTGCCAAATCGCTCGCTCCCAACTTTAGCACCAGTAGCTCACAAAGTAGTAGAAGAAGAAGAAGGAGAGTGGATTTATAGCCCGCCCTTCACTACCCAAAGGTGTCTCAGAGCAGCTTACAAACTCCTTTCCCTTCCCCTCCCCACAACAGACACCCTGTGAGGTGGGTGGGGCTGAGAGAGCTCTTGACAGAAACTGCTCTTTTTCAAGAACAGCTCTTATCAGAACTACGGCTTGCCCAAGGCCATCCAGCCAGGTGCAAGTGGAGGAGTGGGGAATCAAACCAGGTTCTCCCAGATTAGAGTCCGCGCACTTAACCACTACACCAAACTGGCTCTTTTGCTCACAAGACTCCACAACTCAGAGGGAGCATTGGTTAGCAGGTAAGGGAAGGGAAATATATCACGGCTCCCCAACATCCTGCCCACTGAGAGCTTTCCTGGAGCCCACCGACTGCTGTCAGAAACTGGGCAGGGCCAGTCGGGGCTTCTGGCAACAGTTTATTGGCACAAGACAGAGGGATCAGTAGAAGAAAAAGAGGAGTTTGGATTTATACCCCGCCCTTCACTACCCAAAGGAGTCTCAGAGCAGCTTACCAACTCCTTTCCCTTCCCCTCCCCACAACAGACACCCTGTGAGGTAGATGGGGCTGGGAGAGCTCTTTTGAGGACAGCTCTTAAGAAAACAGCTCTGAGAGAACTTGTGACTGACCCAAGGTCACACTACCAACTGCATGTGGAGTAGTGAGGAATCAGACCCGGACCTCCCAGATTAGAGTCCGTGCTCTTGAGGAGAGGAGATTGGATTTATACCCCGCCCTTCACTACCCGAAGGAGTCTCAGAGCAGTTTACAATCTCCTTTCCCTTCCCCTCCCCACAACAGAGACCCGGTGAGGTGGGAGGGGGTGAGAGAGCTCTTTCAAGAACTGCTCCTGAGAGAACAGCTCTGAGAGAACTTGCGACTGACCCAAGGTCACACCAGCAGCTGCATGTGGAGGAGCGGGGAATCCTCCCAGATTAGTGTCCGCTCTCTTAACCGCTACGCCAAACTGGTGGCTGCCACCACAGCACAAAGATCTTCACTGTGTGAGAGAAGCGAATCACTAGCAGCCATTTTGTCACTGGCTCCGCCCACTGCAGCATCCATTTTGTGGCACCCACCACACTGTGTCGAATCCAAAGGTATTTGGAGGGTCAAATGGGTTGGGGGACCCCTGAAATGCACAGACCTCTCATTTCTCCCCTCGGGCCTGGTCTGGGAATTGCAGGTGTGTCCGGAGAATTTATTTATTTATTTATATTTATTTATTTTTCGCATTTATACCCTGCCCTCCCCGAAAGGCACAACAGCGTGTGGGACTCACCTTCATTTCCTCCTCAAACATCTTCTTGTTTTCGGGAGATGGGTAAACGGCCAGGTTGTTGGCCAGGAGCCTGTTGCGACCGTAGGACTTGTCCACCAAAACGACGTCGCCGCGGGCACCCAAACCTGCGGACAGAAATGGTGGGAGGTTTGTGGCCTTCGGCCAGCCAAACTTCCCTGATGACGCAGTCCTTTTCTTTTTTTTTAAATAAGTACCCGAGGGTACACTTTTAGTATTTTTTCTATTATATACTACAGACAGACATACAAACATACGTACAAAAAAAATAATAAGAACTAATATCCCGTTTGCTCCAGAGATACTGTTATTGAATATATTTCCGAAAGACTTTGATAAAGCAGATAGGTATTTTTTTTTTATTAACTCTCCTAAAAAGGAGATAATTTTATTGCTTTTAAATTCCAGAAAAACAGGAAGGGTATATAGCGGGATTAAGAAAAGTGGTGAGTGATGTTTAAGTTAGTATGTTAGTCTTTTGTTAGTATTTCACAAAGTCTGTGGCTTCTGCGAATGGACAATCCTCTTCCATCTTTACCTGTAAAAAATAAAGACATTAGATATGTTAATAATGTCCTTTTGGGATTAGTATTGTCCCTCACTGCGCTTTCCGAACAGTCCTCAGGCGTTGGGGTGCTTCCCTTTTTTATCTCTCAAGTTGCAAGTTGGACCTTTTGCTGTTTTCTCATCTTCCGATTCTTTGACCTCTCCCTCCGAACTGCTGTCTTCCTCGCTGCTAACCGCCATCCACTTAGCGAGTTCTCCTTCTTCCTCTTTGCTGGCGTGCCTCTTCAAAAAGTCTTGAGCCTTGAAGATGGAGTCACGCTTCTAACAAATCAGCTGGCTGTGGGTTCCCCGGCATAGTATTTGGGTTGATTAGATGGGTGACAACCACCTCAGGGAGGCCATAGAGAGACGTGGGTCCCCGTGCCTCTCCCGCGGGTCCCCTTTTTATTTATTAATTAATTTTCATTCCCTTCAGAGAGCCAGTTTGGTGTCGTGGTTAAGTGCACGGACTCTAATCTGGGAGAACCGGGTTTGATTCCCCACTCCTCCACTCGTACCTGGCTGGATGACCTTGGGCAAACCATCGTTCTGTCAGAGCTGTTCTTGAAAAAGAGCAGTTTCTGCCAGAGCTCTCTCAGCCCCACCTACGTCACAGGGTGTCTGTTGCATAGAGGGGCAGGGAAAGGAGTTTGTAAGCCGCTCTGAGACTCCTTTGGGTAGTGAAGGGCAGGGTATAAATCCAATCTCTTTTCTTCTTATACCTTGCTTTTTCCCCAATGGGGACCCAAAAGCAGTTTACATAGAATCCTAGAGTTGGAAGGGAACCTCCAGGGTCATCTAGTCGAACCCCCTGCACAATGCAGGAAATTTGCAAATACCTCCCCCCCCACACAAACCCAGCGACAATGTTCCCTCTAAGCTGTGGAGTCTTGTGAGCAAAAATTCTACTCTGTGAGCTCCTGGCATTCAAGTTGTGAGCGAGCCAGCGATTTGGCTGCTGCATTAATTAGTTTGCTCTGGAGCCATCCTTCCAGAGCTAAGACAAAAATGTGTGAGCCGGAGGCTAAAAAACTGTGAGCTAGCTCACACTAACTCAGTTTAGAGGGAACACTGGTCAGGACCACTGTTCCAATCCCAGAGGGCTCTTAAAAAGAAGAAGGAAGAGGAGGAGGAGATTGGATTTATACCCCACCCTTCACTCAGTCTCAGAGCGGCTTACAATCTCCTTTCCCTTCCCCTCCCCACAACAGACACCCGGTGAGGTGGGTGGGGCTGAGAGGGCTCTTTCGAGGACTGCTCCTGAGAACAGCTCTGACAGAACTATGGCTTGCCCAAGGGCATCCAGCAGCTGTGAGTGGAGGAGTGGGGAATCTAACCCGGTTCTCCCAGATTAGAGTCCACACACTTCCCCGCTACACCAAACTGGCTCTCAAACTAACTCAGCGGTGATTAGCGCTTTCCTGGGCGTGCAAGAAAGGGCCACGAGAACGAATTACTGATGCAACCCTTCCAGCCCTCCATTCTCATGATCTGCCTAAGTTCACAGAATCAGCATTGCTGTCCAACAGCCATCTAGCCAGTTTGAAAACCTCCACTGTGCCATCACAACAACCCTGAGAGGTAGGTCAGGCTGACAGTGCGTGACTGGCCCGGGGTCACCCAGCAACCCGCCATTGCAGAGCGGAGATTCAAACGTCCATTTCCGAGGTGCTCATCTGACGCTCTAACCAGTACAACCACACTGCTTCTCGCTTTCGCTGACTGGATTGTAACGCAGTGCTGTCCCACGCCTTCGGTCTTTCTTTTGACAAAGAAAGGCGGGAGAGAGATGCAATGAATAAAGAACGCAGCTTTGGGTGCAGGACTTGTCTTCCCGAGATTATCTGGTTTTTAATTCTAGGCCTCACGGTCGCAAATGATGTACGTATGGGCAATTGCTGCTGAAAGCTCCTCTCCAATGATATCCCCCATGCTCAGAAAGCTAACTGACAGGTGGAATTCACTGCTGCAGGAAGTGGTGGTGGTTACAAGCAGAGACAGCTTCAAGAGGGGATCGTATAAACATATGGAGCAGAGGTCCACACGTGGCTATTAGCCACAAGGTACAGGTGGAACACTCTGTCTGGGGCAGTGATGCTCTGTCTTCTTGGTGCTTGGAGGGGGCAAGAGTGGGAGGGCTTCTGGAGTTCTGGCCCCGCTGGTGGGCCTCCTGATGGCCCCTGGGTTTTGGCCACTGTGTGACACAAGGAGCATTGGAGTGGGTGGGCCATTGGCTTGACCCAACATGGCTTCTCTTATGTCCTTCTATCTGGGGCAGTGATGCTCTGTCACCTTGGTACCTGGGGGATGACAGTGGGAGGGCTTATGGAGTTCTGGTGGACTTCCTGATGGCCCCTGAGTTTTGGCCACTGTGTGACACAGAGTGCTGGCCTCCCTGCCCTGTTGTTGGCCCTCCGAAGGAACTGGCTGAGGCCAGTGTGTGAGACAGGAGGCTGGACTAGATGGACCCTCACTGGTCTGATCCAGCAGGGCTCTTCTGATGTTCTTCTCAGGGGAAGGCCTTGGCCTCAGCTTCCCTGCCCTGTTGTTGGCCCTCCAGAGGAACTGGTTGAGGCCCCTGTGTGAGACAGGATGCTGGACTAGATGGAGCACTGGTCTGATCCAGCAGGGCTCTTCTTAGGTTCCCTTCTCAGGGGAAGGCCTTGGCCTCCCTGCCCTGTTGTTGGCCCTCCAGAGGAACCAGATGGCCACTGTTTGTGACGGGATGCTGGACTAGATGGACCCTCACTGGTCTGATCCAGCAGGGCTCTTCTGATGTTCTTATGAAGGCCTCGGTCTCTGTGCTCTGTTTGTCAGACCTCCAGAGGAACTGGTTGGCCCCTGTGTGAGACAGGAGGCTGGACTGGATGGACCCTCACTGGCCTGACCCAGCAGGGCTCTTCTGGTGTCCTTATCAGGGGAAGGCCTCTGCCTCTCTGCCCTGTTGTTGGCCCTCCAGAGGAACTGGCTGGCCACTGGGTGAGACAGGAGGCTGGACTGGATGGACCCTCACTGGCCTGACCCAGCAGGGCTCTTCTGGTGTCCTTATCAGGGGAAGGCCTCTGCCTCTCTGCCCTGTTGTTGGCCCTCCAGAGGAACTGGCTGGCCACTGGGTGAGACAGGAGGCTGGACTGGATGGACCCTCACTGGCCTGACCCAGCAGGGCTCTTCTGGTGTCCTTATCAGGGGAAGGCCTCTGCCTCTCTGCCCTGTTGTTGGCCCTCCAGAGGAACTGGCTGGCCACTGGGTGAGACAGGAGGCTGGACTGGATGGAGCCTCACTGGTCTGATCCAGCAGGGCTCTTCTTAGGTTCTTCTCAGGGGAAGGCCTCGGCCTCTCTGCCCTGTTGCTGGCCCTCCAGAGGAACCAGATGGCCCCTGTGTGAGACGGGATGCTGGACTAGGTGGACCCTCACTTGTCTGATCCAGCGGGGCTCTTATGCTCTTAATAGTGGTGATGGAAAGTGCTGTGACCCTGTAAGGTTTTCAAGGCCGGAGACGTTCAGCGGTGGGTTTGCCGTGGCCTGCCTCTGCGTCAGGACCCTGGTATTCCTTGGCGGTCTCCCCTCCCAATACTAGCCAGGGCCGACTATCCTTAGCTTTGGAAATCAGATGAGATTGGGCTGGCCTCTTCTTAATCCCCCATCCAAAATAAAGGAGCTGATTTCTTTCTCCTCCCTCCTTCCTTAAAGCCTGTCATTCTTTTAAAAAATGACATTCAGGATCCCAAACACACGAGAACATGGAATCCTGCAGGCCCCCATACAGCTAAGCTGGCAAAATAAAAGGAGATGTTGGATTCAGCCAGTTTGGTGTCGTGGTTAAGTGCGTGGACTCTAAATCTGGGAGAACCGGGTTTGATTCCCTACTCCTCCACTTGCACCTGCTGGATGACCTTGGGCAAGCCATCGTTCTGATAAGAGCTGTCCTTGATAGAGCAATCCTCGGACTTCCGGTTGATGGCGGGACTTCCGGTTGATGGCAGCACGCTCACAGACTCACCTCCCGGACCTCCCGGGGGTGTCTCCGTGCTCTGGCGGAGGGGGTGAGCAGGCTCGTAACCCCCCCAGGAGCCCGGGGAAGGGCACCTGGCCAAGGAGCTTTGAGGGGGTAGCCTCTTCTCTGGTCAAATGCCAGGGAATCGAGGCTCCCCCTTGCTCCAGTGGTCCGTCCAGCCGAGAGACCTGATGGTACAAGTGAAGCTAGCCGGATCAAGTTCAGGAGATCAGGCGTTTGAAATGATGGATAGAGCAATCCTCGGCACAGCTGTTTTTGAAAGAGAGCAGTTTCCACCAGAGCTCTCTCAGCCCCACCTACTTCATGGGGTATAAATCCAATCCCTTCTCTTCTTCTTTTCTACCCTGCCCTTCACTCCCCAAAGGAGTCTCAAAGCGGCTTACAATCTCCTTTCCCTTCCCCTCCCCACAATGGACACCCTGTGAGGTAGGTGGGGCTGAGAGACCCCTCTCGAGAACTGAGAGAACAGCTTTGAGAGAACTTGTGACTAGCCCAAGGTCACCCCAGCAGCTGCCCGTGGAGGAGTGGGGAATCAAACCCGGTTCCTCCCAGATTAGAGTCCGCGCTCCTGACCACGACGCCGAACCAGACCATCCTTTACATACATCAGGTTGACTCCGTGTTCATAAGCTCTCTGTGATGACTGCCTCTGTGTAAGTTGAATTACTATTTAAGATCTTGATTATTACTATTCCTCATAATAACGGGACGCACCCTCCACCGAATCCGTGAGGATGAGCTCCATCGGCTGCTTCTGGCTGTGTTTGGTGTCCTCCACCAGGCGGAAGACCTTGAACCGGCGATGCTTGATGCGAGGCTGCCTGCCGACCTTGCTCAGTGGAACTTTCCACCATCGTTCCACGATGACCGTTTCCTGCCCAGTGAAGGGAGAGAGGGGAAAAAAAAAGAATAGAATCACAGTGTCAGAAGTAGAGATGTAAAATTTCCGGAAATTTTGAAGCTGGGGAAAAAAAAAAAAATTTTTGGAAAAATGGGGGGGGGGGGGGAAATGCTACATTAGCATTTCTTTTTTCTTTTCCAGATTGTAAGTCACTCTGTTACTTTAGGAACATAAAATATGACTATGGACATTTTTACTTGGCATGAAATTATCACCACTAGCATATTAGTAATACAGTGTATCTAAACAATTCTTACAAGAAGAAATGCATCTTGTTCTTGCATTGGAGACTTCAGCTGGTAACCTAGGACTTGCTTGTCCTCAGTGCACAGAAATTAGATCAATCTGATACCATATATATTTTTTAGAAATGATTTGGAAAATATCTGAACACCTTGTCCTAAAATATTTTATTCATCATGTTAAAATAAAACGTTCCGTAATCAATTCTTTTTTCTTCTCTTTTTTCAATTTTTCCAATTTTTCGGGAAAAAAACAAAAAAGGCTTCAGGAAAAAAAACGGTGTCCCCCCGAAATTTTCCCGGTTTTTTTCCGGGCCTTCACATCTCTAGTCGGAAGGGGCCACGCAGGCCATTTAGTCCAACCCCCCCTGCTCCGTGCAGGATCACCCTAGAGCGGGGGTGGCCAAACTCCGGCTCGGGAGCCACATGCGGCTCTTTCACACATATTCTGTGGCTCCCGGCAGGGCAACTGGGGAAGTGACGGGGAGGCATGCCTCCCCGATCGGTCTTTCCTTACCCGCCCACTGTTACATAAGAACATAAAGAGAAGCCAATGTTGGATCAGGCCAGTGGCCCATCCAGTCCAACACTCTGTGTCACACAGTGGCCAGAAATACCAGGGGCCATCAGGAGATCCACCAGTGGGGCCAGGACATTAGAAGCCCTCCCACTGTTGACCCCCCCAAGAAGACAGGGCATCACCTGCCCCAGACCGAGAGCTCCTATCCATACCTTGTGGCTAATAGCCACTGATGGACCTCTGCTCCAGATGTTTATCCAAAAGAACATAAGAGAAGCTTATGTTGGATCAGGCCAGTGGCCCATCCAGTCCAACACTCTGTGTCACACAGTGGCCAGAAATACTAGGTGCCGTCAGGAGGTCCACCAGTGGGGCCAGGACATTAGAAGCCATCCCAGTTGCCTCCCCCAAGCACCAAGAAGACAGAGCATCACTTGCCCCAGAGCCCCTATCTATACCTTGTGGCTAATAGCCACTGATGGACCTCTGCTCCATATGCTTATCTAATTCCCTTTTGAAGCCGTCCATGCTTGTAGCCATGCTTGTTCCCCTCCCTGGGTAGGCTTGAGGCGGGGGGTTGAGCAGAGAAAGAAAGCAAATATGTTCTCAAAGCGCCCTCCCCCCCAAGCTGGCTTGGAGAAAGCTTTTGTCTCTTTAAATCCCTTCTCCGAGCCGGTGTGGGAGCGTGGGGGTGTTGGAGGACACATTTAAAGTTAAAGTTGCTCTCTTCCCACCTCCCCCACCTATTTGCTGTCTTTCTTTCCATCTTTCTTTGTCTCTCTCTCTCTCTCCCCCCCTTCCTTTTTCTCTCTTCCTTCTTTCCTTCCCCCTCCCTCCTGCCATCTATTTGCCGTCTTTGTTTCTCTCTCTCCCTCTTTCTTTCCACCTCTTTCATTCTTTCTTTCCACCACCACCCTCTCTTAGACAAATAAATATCATTAGCAAACAAATATCTCTGGACAAATAAATTTCATTATCAATATCTGTTTTTACCCCTTCTGTTTTTATTTTCGGCAGTCTCATTTAATGTGAATAAAGAGGGAATTTATGTATTTTTCAATAAAAACGTGTGTGATATTTGTTCGTCCCTTGCGGCTCTCAAACATCTGACGTTTATTCTGTCTGGCTCTTAACGTTAAGCAAGTTTGGCTGCCCCTGGCCTAGAGCATCCCTGACAAGGGTTTGTCCAGCCGCTGCTTGAAGACCACCTCCCTGGGCAGCTGATCCCGCTGTTGGACAACTCTTACTGTAGAAAGGTTTTTCCTATGATCCAGCTGGTACCTTCCCGCCCTTAAGAACATAAAAGAAGCCAATGTTAGATCAGGCCAATGGCCCATCCAGTCCAACGCTCTGTCACACAGTGGCCAAAAAACACCAGGTGCCATCAGGAGGTTCACCGGCGGAGCCAGAACTCCAGAAGCCCTCCCACTCTTGCCCCCCCAAAGCACCAAGAATAGAGAGCATCCCTTGCCCCAGACTGAGAGTTCCCATCTATACCTTGTGGCTAATAGCCACGGATGGACCTCTGCTCCATACGCTTATCTAATTCCGGCTTGAAGCCGTCCATGCTTGTAGCCACCGCCACCTCCTGTGGCCGTGAATTCCACGTGTTCATCACTCTTTGGGTGAAGAAGGACTTCCTTTGATCCATTCTAACCCGACTGCTCAGCAATTTCATTAATTTCAACCCATTCTTGCGAGTCCTCTCCTCTGCTGCCAACAGGAACAGCTCCCCACCCTCCTCTGACAGCCCTTCTGATACCTCAACAGATCAATCCTGTCCCCCCTCGACCTCCTCGTCTCCAGACTGAACATTCCCAAGTCCCTCAACCTTTCCTCACAGGGCTCGGTCTCCAGAGGTTCAGCCAGGAGTTCCCACCACCCCACCACTGCGGTCCACCTTTCTTTCACAAGGGGGAGGGATGCCGGCCTCCAGGCGGGATCTGGGGACCAGCGTTCCCTCTAAGCTGAGCCGGTGTGAGCTTGCTCATAGTTTTTTAGCCTCCGGCTCGCACATTTTTGCCTTTGCTCGGGAAGGACGGCTACGGGGCAAGCTCATCTGCCAAACCGCTCGCTCACAACTTTGAAGCCAGTCGCTCACTTGCCCCAGCCTGAGAGTTCCTCTCTATACCTTGTGGCTAACAGCCACTGATGGACTTCTGTGCGTGCACACAAAAGCTTGTACCCTGAATTAAACTTTGTTGGTCTTAAAGGGGCCGCCGGACTCAAACTTTGTTCTGTTGCTTCCGACCAACAAGGCAACACACCTGAATACATTTTCTGTAACTGGTTCGGGTGTGTATCTGAAGAACATAAGAACATAAGAGAAGCCAGTGTTGGATAAGGCCAATGGCCCATCCAGTCCAACACTCTGTGTCACACAGTGGCCAGAAATACCAGGTGCCCTCAAGAGGTCCAGCAGTGGGGCCAGGACATTAGAAGCCCTCCCACTGTTGACCCCCCCCCCAAGCTCCAAGGATACAGAGCATCTCTTGCCCCAGACATAAGAATGTAAGAGAAGCCATGTTGGATCAGGCCAATGGCCCATCCAGTCCAACACTCTGTGTCACACAGTGGCCAAAAATACCAGGAGCCATCAGGAGGTCCAGCAGTGGGGCCAGGACACTAGAAGCCCTCCCACTGCTGCCCCCTCCCAAACACAAAGAATACAGAGCATCACTTGCCCCAGACCGAGACCTCCTATCTATACCTTGTGGCTAAGAGCCACTGATGAACCTCTGCTCCAGATGTTTATCCATAAGAACATAAGAGAAGCCAATGTTGGATCAGGCCAATTGCCCATATAGACCGACACTCTGTGTCACACAGTGGCCAAAAATACCAGGTGCCATCAGGAGGTCCATCAGTGGGGCCAGGACACTAGAAGCCCTCCCACTGTTGCCCCCCCCCCAAGCACCAAGAATACAGGGCATCCCATGCCCCAGCTTGAGAGTTCCTCTCTATACCTTGTGGCTAAGAGCCACTGATGGACTTCTGTGCGTGCACACAAAAGCTTGTACCCAGAATTAAACTTTGTTGGTCTTAAAGGGGCCACGGGACTCAAACTTTGTCCTGTTGCTTCTGAAGAACACAGCGACCCCACCTGAATACATTTTCTGTAACTGGTTCAGGCGGGGTACCTGAAGAAGTGCGCATGCACAGGAAAGTTTACTCCCAGAATCAAACTTTGTTGGTCTTCAATGTGCCACCGTCGGGGCTCTCAAACTTTGTCCTATGGCTTCAGACCAACACGGTGGCCCACCTGAGTCTAACCCCAACTGAAGGGTTGACAGGTGGGTCAAACAACAAAGATATACACTGCAAAAACCTTTTTTTATAAGTTAAAGCATTCTATACGTTCCATCGTATAAAGTGCATTGCGTATTATTCATAATATTCTAAAACCGGTATATATATCCATTACATGCAATACTGTTGTACGCACATTTTATGAACCACTTTGTACTCTGCCACTGCCTAAGTTAAACTTAGTAGGTATACTTAGCACTTCCATAAGACATATGATTCTAACATCATGGATGTATTCAGGTATTAACTTTGGTTCATTTGTGACTGTTGTTTGAATGCATGCTGGGAAGAAGGCTGAAATGCTGATACACAGTTATGCTACCCATTACCTTGCTTGTTCTGGCCAGCTACAACTGCACATATTTCTGATGTCAGTTAACCCAGCTAGAATGAAGAACAGTAAGCACTCTGTAACCATATCAGTTATATGTAGATACAACATGCAGCTTCATAGCTTCCGAAAGAAAAGTGTATTGTTCTGTTAGGAAAAGAAGAACTCTGCCTGGGAACAAAAAAGCCAGTCGAATCCGACTCTAGGGTTGCGGTGCTCATCTCCGTTTCAAAGCCGAAGAGCCAGCGCTGTCCGAAGACGTTTCCGTGGTCATGTGGCCGGCATGACTAAACACCAAGGCGCACGGAACGCTGTTACCTTTCCACCGAAGTGGTCCCTATTTATCTACTTGCAATTTCTTGCTTTCGAACTGCTAGGTTGGCAGGAGCTGGAACTAGAGACAGGAGCTCACCCTGTCTTGCGGCACCCGGGTCTTGAACCACTGAACTACTGACCTTCCACAGCCTGCAGTTCAGCGTCTTAACCACTTGAGCCACCACAGCTCCACAGCTCTTCCTTATTAATTAATAAATTAATTTTTTGGCTTCCAACTCTACAGGACTGCTTTTGT